AAATCTCATAAATGCTGTGACTCTGAATTTCAGTAATTAAAAAAAAACCACAAAGAAACCCCCCCAAAATACTTATATTTCCTCTGTGGTGCACTCTCCTGGGACTTTCCATACATTTTAGAGCAGATACTGATCTCATACTTTCTGTTCATATGTACAGAAGCAGCAACAGTGGTCTACTGGAAAAATACTGAGTTACCAACAGCTGAGGTCAATCAGGCTCATATTTCCTGAGAATGAATGACAGTGTAATTGCAAACACTGTATTTCAGATTCTGTGACACTCAGTATTCAGTAACAAAGCTTATAAAACAAATGGGAAATACCATAAAATAGTGATGGTCCTGCTTTAATACGCTTTTCTGATCCAGATCCTTACTTCAAATTTCACTTCATTACATACTACTTATAACACTAGTTATAATAATATAGAAATAGGTTCCAAAATTAATGGGATTTAAGAAGTATAAAGTATATGATTTTAGATACAGTGATTTGAGATACATTAAAATAGTGCCCTTTAAACTGAAGTTAATTAAGTACTGGTCTGGAACATCAAACAAGTTTATGTGGTTTGGCTTCTCCTTCCTTCCTGAAAGCTATAGAAGGAGTTCTGGTTCTGACTCTGATGTCGCTACATGACTGACACTTTGTACAGGTTGTAGTGTGTATCAACATGGTAAAATTGAAAAATATAATGAAAAATTAAATTGCAAAAAGAAAACAAGATAGAGGTATGCAGCTAATAGGAGGGATGTGTGTCATATTTAGGCCTGTTTTGCTGTCCTCTACAAAGTGGTGGTATGTACCTATCTCTTTCTGAAGAGCACATTTGTCAGCTTACAAGGCCTTTGGGGCATTAAACCATTTTAGAAGAATAACTGAGCGAAATTAAGCTGCACAAAGTTTTCAGTGCTTTGCAGATTATACTCTGGGATGAGTGAACAGCACGTAAGGTTGGTGCAGCTCAGAGAGCCGTAAGCCTTCTTTTGAAAATCCCCAAAATGCCGTGATCGTTCTTTGCTCAGACTGCTGCTGTAGTTTCTTCACCTGAGTAGTGGGTGCCCTTGGAAGAAAAACTGTAGGAACTTGCACTGTTATAAATAGTTTTGTTAAAACTTGGAGTAGAAATAAAGCCTTTCACCAGAGCCCCAGGCTTGCATCTCAAGACTTGAGGAACGCAGCCCATAACTTTGTAACTGAACAGTAAACAGTGTCCCACATTGGCTTTGTGGCTGAAGAATAAAGAAATACCCAGCATTGGCTTTTTTAACTTTGGAGAATTTTTTGGTCACCCTAATAATAATATTGGTGAAGAGATTGAAAACATGCCTGAGATGGGAGCATTAGATGTATTGTCTCATGCATGGGTAGAAATGAGAATTTTACTATGCCTGGTTAAGATTTACTGAGCTATTACACTTATTTATTGCATGTTATTTTCTAAGGCATCTCATGTCATTTATACATGTGCTCATTTATAATCCTTGACACAGAAGTCTTTCTCCATTTCACCATATCTCTTCATCTGTTCAGGTTCTCTCTTGCTTAAGGCCTGTTCTGTTTAAAAGTATACAGTATTTAGGAAAAATTTTTAGGGGTGGGATGGAAAAAGAGCACCCTTTTCAGTTTCCATTTTTTTTTTAAAGCCAAGACAAAAGCCAGTCTACTTTCCCTGGTCAAAAAGGAGAAGAAAATGGGAAATCTCTCTCATTCTGTATGCTGAGAACTTTGTTGAGTATCTCCCAGACTCTAGTAATGTCTTTTCAGAAGCTGGCTGTCTGCGTAGCTGTACACACTGGATTATCGCTTTTAAGGACAGAGTTAAATGGAACCAGAAGGAATACTGTGGCTGCTCAAGTTAGCATAAGGGAATATGGAAAACTTACTTATTTCATTTCTCCCAAAGATGAAATACGTGAGAGACTATCAGATATCTGCAGCTGAAGGTTGCATGAAAAACAGTTAAGGCACTGAATCACAATTCATGTGTTCAACCAATTGTTGAAATGAACTTGTCGGTTTTGACTTAGATCACCCATCTGGGAATAAACCAACAGATATCCTCATTATTTTGCAGATATTCCAGAAATATGTTGATGCCATTTTTTTTTAACTAGCTTTCCCAACTGAAAACAATAAAAGCTACATTAAATAATACATAGATTCCACATAGATGTTTCTTTCTACTTTTCTAGCATTAAGAATAAAGAATTCAAGTTTATATTTTTCAAACCATCTTCAGCAAGAAGAAACTTCCACTCATGGTAAAACACACTGCTGCTTGCAGAAAACCTCTCAATAGCCATACTTGGAAATTTTTCTTGTTAACAATGAAGTACATCAAAATGTTCTGACAGGTTGTGTTGAGATCAGCAGACATTGTGGTGGAGTGAAGGTAGGGACTTTATTATGTTTTCTGCCAAGTCCAGTTGATGCCTTGATGCAGAAACAGCTCAATTTTTCCACTTTGAGATTTACTGAGAAATAATAAGAGGAAAGGCTGCCCAGGGAGGTTGTGGAATCTCCTTCTTTGGAGACATTCAAGACCCCCACACCCAACCACACCCCCCAGGGGATTGGACTAGATGATCTTTTGAGGTCCCTTCCAATCTCTAACCTACTGTGATACTGTGATACTGTGATACTGTGAAAAAGTGGGCTTTTGCCAGCTGCACCATAACGTGGTAACTTTTCAAAACCTTGAAATATTTCCTTTTTTTTTTTTTTTTTCCTGGTGAACTTTATTTATCAATAGTGTCTTTTATCATCTACTGTAATCTGGGTGATCTGGAAACACGCTATAATATTTTCATCTAGTAGTCAGCAGTTTGGCAGAACTTGGAAGAGTGTGTCCCAGTAGTTGTGCCTGTTCTTGAGTGATAACCAGTATGTAGGTATAAGCTCTTCCGTCTGTAGATATGAGGTTTCCAGACATATTATCTGCAGTGTTCACCTTGATCTATTTTCTGTAATATCTGATGCTTTTATGTTACCCTTTGGAAAATTCTGACCCACAGTAGATAAAAGTATGGAGAGCTTGTAAGCCAGGTGGGTTTTTGCCGTCACTTTTGTTTTCATCGAATGTAGAAAGCACTCTCTGTAAGATTGTTCTTAAAATGAGATATTCAGATCCCATAAAACTTGTGTTCTGTTTCTGTCATACAAATACCATAACAAAGCTGTATTGCTTGAACCTTTGCAGTACCCTAATTTCATTGATTTTATCTTCAGCTATGAAGATTAGAAACATTTTTCTCCTTTGGGGTTTTGGGTAATCGTCTGCATCAGCAGACATCCATGTGTCCCAGCCTCTTGCACCTTTATGGTCAGCCAGGGGACCCTCATCTGATCTCTTGCCTTTTGCTCTGCCAAGTTCTCCCTCCATTCAGCACTCAGATAAATTAGTAACTTCAATGCTTTGTGATCTGGGAAAATTTACAGCATACCTGTGGGGAGTGTTTGATAGATACTATGGAACTTCAAGAAAGGGACAATATATCATATTCTATATTAATATAATATTAATATATATATTAAATGGGACAATATGTCATATTATCAGTAGATAATATTCTGACTTTAGTTTTGGTGGCACTTTAATGAGTTCCAACAGTGCCATCAGCTCAAGGCCAGGCAGCCAAAGGTGTCGCACAGTTTAGAGTCTTGACATTTAAGTAGAATACAAACATGCTCTTTATTTGTAGCCTTTACCCAGCTTTTAAAGTTTAATGACTTGCTTGTATTTTGTGTGTGTGGCAGAGATCTCAAAATATGTGTTAATATAGCTAGTGGGGAAATTAATTTAATGGAGTCTTTCATTATATTAGTCAAACTTCAGTTATAAATACTTGAACTTTTGAAGAAAAAAGCTGAGTACAACTGAGGACTTCCATCATGATGAACGAAAGATGGGATTTCTTGGGGTTTTGCTTCATTTTGTTTTTTCTTAACATGAGTCACATTTTAACTGAGGAAGAATACCCAGTTTTCATGGTTGTGCAAGTGCTAATTGGTGACTTAGTGGCAGCTTATGTATAAGAGTAAAATTAGGTTTTTATATATATGCATATGTGTCTGTGTTTAATGCTGTTTACAACTTGAAAATAAGGAAGACATTCCACTACCTAATAACTGTATTTATACCTAACATTCATGCTAATAATATGCTGGTCTAATATGTCATCATTCACCCAGACGCTCCAGAAATATGGTTAGCTTTTCTCTAATTTCAGGAGGGTTTCTGAATATTGCTGCTGGAAATTTCAAGGGAAAAAAAACCCACCTTTTTTGTAATGCAACTTTAGCAGACTTTTCATGCTGAATCTTAAGCAGCATTAGTTTCTAGTGGGGATTTAGCAATAAACATGCCATTCTCTACTCTCAGCACAAAACCTGAGATTAATTTTGCCGTGAAGTGTATTTAGGTCTTAATTAGAACTGAAGTTACTCAACCTGGTAAGAGTGCCTTGACAGACAGCACCTACATATCCTACTGTATTAAATTCTCAGGTATGAAGAACAATATACTTACTGCATGTAGTACTTTGTTTGTGCTGTATGTATGCAGTATTTCAAGTTAATAAAAAATTGCACTGTAGAAAGAAGAGGTAGAGTTGAGGAGTGTTGTGCTAAATACAGGGAAAACGGGTGAAATGTGAGAATGCTTTCTTATACTCTGTGGATTTTGTAATGTCTTTGAATATGATATTATGAAACACTGGTACAATGATGTATGTAATGGAGCTATTCATGGCCTAAAAGACTGGCTTGTTGAAGCAATTTTACAAGCCTAAGCAGAACTGGACCAAAGTGATTCAAGGTCCTGTGATGAAGTCATGGAAGGCTGCTGAAACATGGTTTCTTGCGCAGATATTAAGTACATTTTACATCAATTACCTTATCTCAGTAACAGTATATCTCCTACCCATTATATTTTATTAACATTGTCTTATAGACGCTCATGCTTATTTTCTGTATTTCTTTTCCCCTCATCTTAGTGGAATTGGTCGAAATTGGCCATGGGCCTCTGGAGGCAGCAGCATTTTGGCAGAATTTGGAACTTTGCATCTGGAGTTCGTACACTTGAGCCACCTGTCTGGAAACCCTGTCTTTGCTGAAAAGGTTAGACAGTTCAGTCAAAATCATGTTGTAAAAGATAAATCACAGGTTAGGAGACTAATATCTCTGGGAAGAGACCTGATTTTCCTCGGCTGTAAGCATCTGTCACAGTTTCCCTAATCACCTTGGTGTGTTTTTGTACCAAAACTCTGTTCCAAAATCATTGTGATGCATATTCTTGTATATAGCATTTACCTGGGCCCATGAAACATGTAGTTTCTGTTTATGTTCTAAATTAGTATCACATTAAACAATAAGACTGTAGAGCTTGAATGCCATGAGAACAAAAATTGGCATATTTGGGATAATAAGTGATGCGTATAGAAAGCTTTACATTGTGTGATTTCAGCAAGTTTAGTTTTCAAAGTGATGTATAGTATTACTATTGTCAGTGTGGTCAGAAAGCCCTTCTGTTGCACTGACCTTTGAACTTTCTTTGGGGGAAGGGAAAAAATCCCAAGAAAACATCATTTGACAAAGCTTTTGCCATGCTTACCTATTCTTCCAAAATTTGAGAACGCTGTCTTCTAGATACTTCCTGTTTACAAGAGCCATGGAAAGCAGCTCCTCTTTCCCTCAATTCCCACCTAAGCAATTCTGCTTTGCTTTTCGGTGTGTAAATAGTGAGTCCTATTCTTTATAATACACATTACCATTTCTCTTCTTTTTGTTTTTGGGGGGGTTTTTTTTGCTCCCTAATTAAAACTTACACTTGTTTTGGTTTTGTGTTCTTACTGCAACTGCCCCATGTTAGCTAAAAGTGGTATTACCTATTTAATAATCTAATCGATAATGAGACTCCAAATATTTAGCCATAGGCTTAAAAGCAGTGGTCAAATCTAAAATTAATTCTAGTTGTGCCAAATTTAAGGGACTGCATGACTTTGCTACAGTACCACTGTCAGGGCTGAAATCAGTTTTGCAAATCAAACTCCTAGGAATGTTAGTGTATTTAGGGTGAATTTGAAGACAGAGTTTCTCTTAAATAAATCTGAGCTGGGCTGGGAGGAGGGATGGGTAGGTTGCAGCTCCAAGGAGCAGTCAGAAACAAACTTGCTAGATAACTTAATTATCTTTTGGCATTTATGGTAATTTAATGTATAACATTTGTTCTACTAAGAGACAATTAAAGTGTGATGAAAGTGTGTATCTCAAAAATGCTAGCCTATGGTTCTCTTCCAAAGTGGCATTGAGCTATAGCTGCAAGACACTGGAAATCTATTTATGTAAGCTGCTTTTAAAACTCTTTAGAGACTGCGATTCTACAGCCCTCTGAGGCAAGCCTTTCCAGGGCTGGTTTGCTTGATAAAGAAGAAGAAACACTGGAATAAGCTTTGCATTGAAGGATTCACAGAAGAATTCATTAAATGAAGTCTAGGTCTTGTTGCAGTTTGCTTTGGGCAATGACTGTTAGCAACATAGTGTCAAAATGAAGAAGGCAGTTTGTGTACCACAATTGGAAATCCTAAAAAAGCTAATTTTTCTTCTTCAGCAGCTAGTTACTTGACCTGTAGCCATTCAGGGTGTTATAATGAAGCTGTCTGTACCTTTTTGTTACAGACTCTGGTCTGTGGAGCTCAGGATCTTCATTCTCCCAAGCTGCTACATTCACATTTTCTGTAAATGTTATAATTCAGCATAAATTATTTCACCTGTTCTCCAATGGATTATGTTTCTGGATGACTCCAGCTGCAGAGCATGTGCACTGTAATTGTTTCCCTGGGTCTCTCATTTGTTGCGAGCTCCTTAGCAGTATCAGCAGAGTATTCAGCGCTGCGTGGGCTCCTGCTGGGCAAGCTGGTTGCATGAAGCTCAGTTGCAGCAGTGCTCTCCTTCCCAGGCAAAACTGCTTTACAACTCACTTCTGCACCTGAACTAGGTGACAGGCTTAAAATTTAATACCATTTCTGATTTGTGTATATGAAGACTATAATGCTGGAGTGCTGAAGTAGCTTAGTTAAAGCAGCTAGCTTCCGTGAATTTCAGTATCCTGTGGAGAGGTGAGATACCCTGTATGGCAAGCCCTGAACTTCAGAGCTTGCTTCTGTTGCATGATTTCATTAGTGATATTTGATGAAGAACCTCCAGAGGTTTTGAGGAGCTTCTTTCCATGATGCTAGCAGCTTAGAGGATCTTTTCCAACAGCAATATATTTGAACAGAGGTATTCAGGTATATGAGTTAAATAAAACATTTTTTTTTATTTTTGAGCATATTTGTACTTGTGTGGCTACACTGTTTTATTTAGGGTGTGGGGAAAACGGATCAGTGCTCAGTGGTTTGTGCCTTTCCAATAGGTAATGAATATCCGAAAAGTTCTAAATCGACTGGATAAACCAGAGGGCCTTTACCCCAACTATCTCAATCCCAGCAGTGGCCAATGGGGCCAACGTAAGTAGATCTCTTCCTTGTCACCTGCCTGTTGGTATGTGTTTGCAGTCGTTAACTTCTTTCTTTGGTCACTGTTCCTTGGTTTTTATATATGTGTATTTATAAAGAACTTCTTTAAAGTATAAAAACCGTTATTATATCTGAGGTTCTGTACAATGAAAAAAAAAAAACACTACAAAAATAACCATCCTACTTGCTATATTTTAATGTACTTTTATTGATATTTTATTTTATGGCTTCTGCAAGTGGGGGAGTGTCTGAGTATGTATTGTTTTGGAAAGGAACTTGTAGGCTACAAAAGCCTTTTATTCAAAAATCTAAAGTGCTCTCTAAAGTAGCTATTTAAGGAACAATAATCAGCTGGTCTGAATCAACTTCCATATTTTTAGAGTGGTGTGGCTCCACTGAAGATAAAAATAGAAAAATAAAACAAGTCTTTCCAGTTAATACTGCTGTGATTTCTTTTGAAACCTAATGCCAACAACTGAGGAAACAAATGAAACAAAACTGTGTCGTGGCATTAGTCCCCTTGGAACTATTACTGGAGACACCAAAATTAGAAGTGAAAGAGTATAATAAAATGCTTGAAGTATTTGAAGCTCTTAGCCACTTCCTGATGACCAACCTTTTCTTGTACGTTGCCTTCTCTGATCTTCATAACACATTCAAAGCCTATATAGTGTGCAGGGTCACGATTCTAGAGACCCTACTTCTTTTTCCACTTTCCCTACTGGGGCTTTGTCTGCCACTATCCAGTTCATGTGATTCAATGTTCTTATATTTTTTCATTTCTACATTATGGAAAGAAACAAGCAAGATACATTACCTTGGTCTGAAAAGACACAAGTAGATGAGATGGTCCTGTAGATCATCAGTGTTGGTGCTGGTTAGACAATACAAGAGAGGGAGATGACTGGAGAAGCTTTGGAATATAATGGTTTGTTTAGGATGTAGCTACGGTGTAAGTTAAGTCTGATTCTGAAGTCCTTATGGGACTGGCCACAGTCTGGATAGTTAAGGTAATTTTCACAAGTGCAAAGAATGAGTGTTTTATTGAAAAAAATAACATTTTTGAGTGCTTTGTGTCACACTCTGAATTAAAAAGATGTGCAAAAAGGTTGTGCTGCTCACTTGTATTATCCCATCAAGGTAAAGGCCATTTCCTTTTATGAATTAGAAGTATGCTCATCATTTTAAAAAGCCGCCTAGTTTGCTGCGCTGTGAGGTATCCTTCAGGTCACCATCCACAAAGGCTGTGGCACCCATGTGCGTAACCATCGACTCTGGTTGGCATGTTGGTACAAACTCTGACATCCATTTACAGATCTGAGAGATATGTGCCCACTTGTTACCCCTGTTGGTCCAGTACAGCTTTGCAACACATTAAAACCTCCTACTGGAAGTGTTGATCCTATAGCAATAGGCATCAGGTTTGGCTAGAAGGCCACCTCAGCATCTGTGAGCCAGGTCCAGTTACCCCTTCCTTGGTTTCTGTCACTCACAAAAACTCAGTGTTATGGTGAGCTGCATGAGAACAGATCTTTCTAGTTAGTTTCAACTAACAGAGTGGCTCTGCCTTGTTTATTTTAAAGCAGTTAAGTAGCCTTATGGGCTTTGCCAGTTCCCTGTTCTTAGTATAATTGTGCCTTGTGTACTCCTTGTGCACATTAAATGCCAGTTCTTTATGGTGTGCATAGGAAAACTTTGTTTATACCAGCTGTGCTTTCCGATAGCATATAGTATTGACAAAGAAAGTGCTTCCTGCATATGCAGGTATGATGGACACAGATGTTGCTGCAGTCAGTGCCTACACACTGAAGCAGCAAAAGCAAATTTGATCTCGTTGCATCTCTTCCAATTCAATTGCCTCTGTCTGAGGATGCTGTTTTATCAATTTTTTTTCCCACAGTAGAAGACCAGAATGTAAGACTAAAGATGTTTTATTTGAGATTGTTTTTCTAGGCTGTTTCCAGTTGATTACAACAGGGGAAAAAACCCCAAACAACCTAGAATCTTCACTGGTACAAGAGAGAAGTATTTTCTCAAACATGAAGTAGGGAGGGAGGAATAGTTTCTGAACATTTCTTTTCTAGCAGTGCTGTAACTGTGAAGGACACTGCTGGATCACTGCCATTGTTCCTGTAAATTCATTTAGCCCTTGTTATTTTGACAGTAAACTGACAGTGATTTGCTGCAGCATGTATCAATTGGATTTGTCTACTGCAATAATGTATATAATAACAGGGCTTATTATTGATGAAACTGTGCTTGTGCTATTTAGTTTGTAAATGTCAGAGGTTTCTATGGTAATTTATTTAGGAAACTGTAAAGGTCATTTAAATGCTTCTGTTCAAAGATCAGCCTTTGATCGTAGAAAATGTTCTCATTTTTTTAAAGAAGCCTCTTTCCCTTTTGGATCATAAACATTTAAATAAATGGTGCATTCTTTCCAGGAATTTAATATAGCTCGTTCAAAATGGGGCAGAGTGTTTGAACCTACAATGTATTTGTTAGGCAAAGGGACATTTGGAAAACAGAATTATTCTTGTATGTCACAGGCTACTGGAGAAAAAAAAAAGTTTAAAAAGTTTGAATGGAATAAAAGTCTCTCATACATTTGCATGGCTTTGCAGCCTATTCAGAAGGTGAAAGGAGGCATTCCGAGAAGAGAAGATGCTAAGTTTAAAAATAAATTCTTTGGGTTCTGTTGAATTCCTCCAACAGAGCAAGAACTTTGAAGCTAAGGTCAGAGTTAAGTGTTTGGGAAGTGCGAGCTCTGTACCACTTACCCTTCTGCATCTTGTTTTATGATCCTGGATTACCTCATGCGTGTCTTGCTTTTGTCATGCCCAGAATTTTGTGGTATGGACCCACAGACTTGTTGCATAATATATATGTAACCACATCACCATCCTGGATGTCTTGGGCAGAATTCGTAGACCCCTTCCTCAGTGCAAAATTGATGGTTATAAATGAGTAGTACTGGTAAAGCACTTATAAATCCTTTCACTGAAGACTCAATAAATGCCAAATCCCTTAATGTTACCAGGCAGCGCTAAGTTAAAAAAAGAAAACCTCTAGCTAGTGTTCTTAGTTTAATGGAGCTTAAAGAAACACTTTATAAGCATATATATATATATATACATGTATATATATATAGTTGTGGAATTTCATGTGTTTAGTGGATCTATGCTGAAACTGTGATAGCCCCTTAAATTTTCGCCAAGAATCTTTTAGGCTCCCGCAGAGCAAGCGAATACAACCTTGTGGAAGCAGCTAAGATCATCACTAACTTGCACATCACTGGTACAACTCACACCAAATGGTCCAACATATGTGATGTTAGGGTTTGCAGAGTTGTGTCCTAAACGTATACAGTTGAATAATCACTGCATGCATAGCACCAGGTTATTTCACATAGTAAGCGAAGGGCAGAATAAAGTAGTGTGATAGCAGTAATCTTCTGTAGATGTGGCAAAGTATTCTTTATTACTTCTGAAATCACTGTTGAGTTCTGAGAGCAGCCAGAGGTTCAAAAATGTAGTATTATTTTTAAATATATGGGTTGGCATTTTGAAATACCATTAAGTAACCTGAAATTCAACTCTGCAGTAATGAGCTAAAACATTTCATCCTTTTTTATGAAGTGACTTAAATGGAGCATTAGTGAATGAAAGAGCAAATAAAAACAATGCCTGCATGTTAAGAGGGGAAAGCCTTTGTCAAATTAGAGAGCTCTTTCTACATCTTTTCCTCATTTTAGAACTTGGATTAATACATTTTTGTATGGGATGGAGTACATGAATTTAATGTTAAACGTGTAAATTATTGTTTCTTTGCCATGAACTCCTGTGGCACATTGTGGACGTTGAATAACTCCGGTCCTTTAACTTGACAAAGAAGTTACCATTTAAAGAAATAATTCTCTGTATATACCAGCTAAGTTTTTCCTGAGGTTCCACACTTGCATTTATTAAAGATTGTTGTAGGAAGAGATCATTAAATGCACTGTTTCAAACTGTATTTTGTTGCCCAGACTGAAGATTAAATTCCTGTTCAATCTCTTTCTTCCTTTTTAGATCACGTCTCCATTGGAGGGCTTGGGGATAGCTTTTATGAATACTTGCTCAAGGCATGGCTGATGACGGACAAGACAGATGAAGAAGGCAAGAAAATGTATTATGATGCTGTTCAGGTATATAAAATAGTTAAATCTTACTTTCCATAAGAATCTAATCTGTAATAATCCTAAAGAGAAAGGCTCAAGGAACAATGTGAAGGATTTATGTCTTTGCCACCACAGTTGTGTTTTTCTAAAGAATTAGTTTCACTTTTAAAAAGACTTCATCGAATATAAATGCAGGAGGAATACAGATACTGTGGGAAAGGACAGAGTCTTGAAGTATAGCTATTTCTTTCCAACTGCAATGCAGTCAGTCTTCGCTGATACTGGACGAGAAAAGTACAAAATATGCAACAAAAATGCATCTACAAGCATCTCTCAGATAGGAATTCAATTCTTTTTTCCTCCATCATCCCTAAATATATTCCTTCTGACTTTTTTCCTTACATCCAGGAGAGAGCTCCTCTGTTGTGTTTTGACCTTATATTTCAGCTGTCAGAATATTTTGATTGTGGGCAACACAGGAATCGCTATATTATGATAGATAATGATAAACAAAAATAGGTTTTGTTGCATAATGCCTTTTTGTTACAAAAGGCATATATTTGCCAGCTTCTGTGAAAACAACCAGTTATTCAATTTTGACACAAGAGAAAGTTTTCAAAAATCAGAATTGTTCATACTTACATTTCCATGTCACATTTTATTTATGATCCTTCTGGTCTGCAATTTGCTTTGTTATTGACAATATTCCCCTAATATGCTGGTTTGGGAAAAATAATGGGTTTGTGACATCAGATTGAGACATGAGAAGTATTAAGTTTAAATTCATATTTACAGGCTTTCCTTCCAGTCTTGGGCAAATGACCTATTTTCTCAGTTCATTGCTTTCATATATATATATATACATACACACGCACACGTGTGCACATATATAAACACATATACATACACATATGCATATGTATACACATACACATATACATATATATAAAAGAAAAAGAGGATGATATTACTTCTTTTTTCCCCCTCCTTTCATCTGTTTTGGCTGGAAGCTCTCTAGGGCCAGGACTTCTATCTCTTGCTAACTTTGTGTATGTACAGTGCCACTGCAGACAAGGCTTCAAGATGCTAGGCAATATCTGCTTATTCTTTGATACATCTAGAAATGCACTATCCCTAGTGAAGAGTTATAAGTCCCCTTTTAATTCCTGTACCACAACAAGTGGTGACCTTAGGAAAATGCAGCCCTGGCTCATTGCAACTATCTTTTTTTTCTTTCATTTTTTTTATTTTTGTTTCACAGAATCATAGAATGGTTTGGGTTGGAAGGGACCTTAAAGATCACCCAGTTCCAACCACCCTGCCACAGGCAGGGACAGCTTCAGCTAGACCAGGTTGCTCAAAGCTCCATCCAACCTGGCCTTGAGCACTGCCAGGGAAGGGGCATCCACACCTTCTCTGGGCAACCTGTGCCAGTGCCTCACCACCCTCACAGGGAAGATTTTTTTCTAATCTCCCCTCTTTCCATTTAAAGCCATTGCCCCTGGTTCTATCACTACATGCCCTTGTAAAAAGTCACTCTCCAGATTTCTTTTAGGCCCTCTTTAGGCACTGGAAGCTGCTCTAAGTTCTCCCCAGAGCCTTCTCTTCTCCAGGCAGAACAACCTGAACTATCTCAGCCCATCTCCATAGGAGAGGTGCTCCATCCCTCTGAGCATCTTTGTGGCCCTCCTCCAGACTTTCTCCAAAAGGTTCACATCTTTCTTATCTTCAGGGCCCCAGAGCTGAATACAGTAGTCCAAGGTGGGGTCTCACAAAGGTGGAGTAGAGGAGAAGAGCCACCTCCCTGTACCTGCTCGTCATGCTCCTTTTGATGCAGCCCAGCTAATGGGGTGCATTTCTCATTAGAGAGAAAAGTCATTTGTGATGATTTGCGGTAGGGTGTGATCTCTGGCGGCAGTAAATCTGACGACCAAGTATCCCCTGCTAAAAAAATCCTGCCTTTAATTTTGTAAGTGCAGATTTGGATGCAGTCAGCTTCATTTTCACTGCTGATGTGGTTTTAGCTTCAGAGCAAAAGGTGGATTTTAAATTAGGTTTGAGTGCATTTGAGGCTTTAACGTAAGAACAGTGATACTGTAATAGCTCAGCTATTAGGTTGGCAGCCAAATGGAGAGAACAAAGTGTCTGATAATACAGTATCAATTCATCTTACCATGGAAGGCATTCTGAAGCACCTCAAAGCTGCTTCCAGTCTTCTACTTCCACTGGTTTAATAATGTCACGTTTCTCTTTTAAACACTTCCTATGCAGGCTAAGTGCTAATGCAGAGACTCATGCAGAGGAAAAAACCCACGTGCCTTTGTTAGTATGTCTATTCTGGATACCGTTGCAGCCAGAATATCACAAATGCGGTGTGACCATCATTCTTGTTGGAAGGACTGTGAGCACATTGCCTCCCATTCTGCCTGGGAGCAGCAGTGGCATTTTCATCCCAAATGAAAACAGAGAGATTCCAAGAGAGCCCTGTGCCTCAATGGCTAGTGCTGACTGCTCCTACTAAGGCTGAAAGGTTCACCTTCCCCTGACTTGAGCACAGCTGAGCTGAGGTACATCAGGAAGTCACTTGCTATATGCCACAGAAGCAGGTGTGCTGTCCCACGTCAGCTGCACAGTGGGAGTGTGCCTGGATGCCTCCTAAGCCAGCCCAAACTACCCATTGGGTGGAAAGCTGCCTGCATCAGGGAAGAGTACTGGGAGCGCTCCAAGCTGTGTCCATGCAGGGTGCAGCAGCATGGCTTTGTTTAAACTCACACTTCAGCTATACCTGGATAACAACCTCCTTGGGTTTGAAAGTACTTGCAGGCATCCTGAGGTCACAGTGGGGAGCAGAAGTGGTGATGGCCACCACATTGTACAGCTGGTTCTCCATGCTTGTGATTGAGCTGGGGGAGCAGAACAGCCAATCAGCAGCATCACCAAATGTGGCAATATCAATGTCAAGAGACTGAGCTCTGCTGTAGATTACTAGAGCTGAAATACCTATTATCTTAATATTTTTAGCAGTACTACATCTTAAGCAGTCCAAGCCTTGTGTCTGTCCATTGTGTCAGCATTTGAGACAGCCAAACTAAATATGTGCTAGATTTCACCATGCTGATGGTTGAAGGCTACTTCGGGTATTTTCTGAGTGGTGGCATTCATGATCTCTGTTTCGTGTACCGAGGTACAGCTATACCAAAGCTGAAAGTGTAACATGTAGCATGTGGGGGTACAACTTGATGCTGTAATGTAGCTGGTTCAGAAAAAACAGCAAGGAAGGTGGAGTCTCACAGAAGCTGAAAACTGCTTGGGCCCCATTGAGATGACAGGTTCTTCACCGAGTAACTAGCCTGTTTTGAAATCCATCCCCATATTGGCTTTATTGCTATTGATCTCTTACTAATCTAAATTAAAGTTAATTTAAGTGTCTGCACAAGCTGCAGTCTTTTTTTATGACTAAGCCTACACTTTTGGGCATTCTGAGACTGCTTCATATTTTCTTAGATAAATTTCCCCCGACGCTTTCAGAATCTTTTTAAGACTACGCCAAAGGGAACAGTGTGATTATTCCTGGCCGTTTGGTCCAGCACATACCCACCAAATTCTGAAAGAGCAATGTGAAGGTTTGATGCCTAATTCAATATCTTCCACAATCCAGAAACCACAAATGAAAATATATGGTGTTATAGTTCACTGTGAAAAGCTGAAATTTATTTAGGTACAGCTTTGGGGTGATTTCTTACATTGTTCTATAACTCATATTAAAACAAAGAGTTCTTTCTATTAGAATTTTTGTAGCACCTACAGATTGTTTTATGGTTTAAGTTAAAAGCAATAACTAAGATGTCAAACTAGATTTAGAAACTTTTTCTGCTTTCCAAAAATAAGATGTGTATTTCGCTGATGCCATTTAAAGGATTGATTTCTAAAGGGAAAAGGGACAGAGACAGTCTTGTTTTGAATGCCAGAGCATAGTATGAATGTATTTATAAGGCCATCAGAGGGATTCATAAACTCTAGATTTCACACAAAAGACAAGTGAATGTATTTTTAATGTAACTTATTTTTCTCTTTTGTAAAGCAATGCATATAATGTTCTGTTTCATATAATACAGGAAGAGATCTTCTTAAATTGGTTTTGGTGGATAGCATGCAACATTTACTTACAAAACAAATGTTTATTCAGCTTTTAGTCCTATTTTGATCATGTAACTGCCCACAGAACAATCTATCAGTCTTTGCAAATATCCAGGACAGGAGCCATCCCACTCTTTTCAGTTAACATAGTTGATTTCTGAGACACAGTTGAGTAGGTTCAGTAAGAGAGCATGATAATTTAGAGAAAAAGTGGACCTTGTGGGTTCACTTATACCTAGTCTAGCAACAGCAGTGCCACAAGCAACTGCATCAAATCCTCCCCTCTTGAATGTGTCAGCACTCATTTTCTAAGTTGAAGGGCAATTTTCCCACTATTCTTATTAATAGGTTGTCTCACACTTGATGTCTGATAATCATGTATCTTTTCCAGATTGTCCCATTATGTTTATTTCTGGCCATTGCTGCAAGTGTTAAGCATCTTAAATACTTTCTCTCTGATGCTCCTTCACCCTCTTCTCAGTTCTAGAGAAGGGGCATATCTAAAGGCTGTAAAGAGAGCAGTAATTCAGCCCAGGAGAACTTCATGGGAGTAGGGAGAGTCCCTCACTAGGACTTCCCAAGCAGCTTGATTCAGTGCAGCCCTGTGGTATCAGACAGGTAAAGCTGCTGTGAGGCATGGCTTTATCTTAAGCCATGATATTTTACTTTTAGACATTTAGATTGTTTAATTTTTCATCCTGGGTAACAGCTGCTTAGAAGATTGTAACAACATGACTTATTGATCTCTGGAGAACCTAGCATGTGGAAGCAGAAATAGTAGAAATAACAAAAAGAAGAGCAGGTGCTGTGAAGCAGTGCCATGGCTGTTCTCTGCCAGATTCCAACAGCAGTCCTGAAAGTCAGGCTCCTGCTAGGCTGGGGTGCACGAT